CTCTGACATTGAAATAAATAAATCTTTAAAAAAAAGAATTTATGTATCTATAAATATATAATTTTTCAAAATTATACAATGATCGCTGTTAAATAACTTTTATCCTTTGAAGTATTCTAATATATAATTTTGGAACAGATTTTAATTGTGTAGGCACCATAAATTGTATCATAAAATTTAACCCATTCCCTGTAGATAAATATTTAGTTTTTTAAATTTTTTGGTAGTTTAGATAAAAGCCATGAATGTAATAAGTAGCTTGTCTCTATATATAATGAGTAACTATTTCAAAAGTATACATTTCTTGAAGTGAAATTTCTAGAAGAAAATCTATGCAAACCTGAGGTATTTGGTACATTTTATAAAGTTGCTCTTCCGAAAAATAGTACAAATGTATGAGCCCACAAGTAACTAACTGGTCAAAATCTACTGACACTCTAGCCAACACTTGACGTCAACATTAAAACTATATTAATCTGGGACCGGCATTGTGGCGTAGCAGGTAAAGACACAGCCTGTGATGCTGGCATCCCATATGGGTCCTGGTTTGAGTTCTGGCTGCTCCACTTGCGATCTAGCTCCCTGCTAATGGCCTGGGAAAGTGGTGGAAGTTGGCCCAAGTGCTTCAAATCCTACACCCATGTGTGAGACCCAGAAAAACTCCTGGCTTTAATCTGGCCCAGCACTGGCCATTGCAGTCATTTGGGGAGTGAACCAGCAGATGGAAGATCTCTCTCTCTCTCTTTCTCTCTCTGTAAATATGCCCTTCAAATAAATACAATGGACTTTTAAAAAAGAAAACTCCATTAATTTGCCAATTTGATTAATGAAGATTATTCATCACCTAGTTCTTAACATGTTTCTTGACAAGTAGGGAAATCAAGGGAAAGAATCTTTCTTCAGAGCTTCCCCGAGAGCTGTGCACCATTTGTGAGAATGACGTCACCAACACCACACCATTCCTGTTATGCGTATCAACGTCACCTGCATAGTTTCATCTGCAATCCTGGCCCCCATTCCCTGTGTTTCTCAGGGAAACACACATCACATCCTTACTCCTTCCTAGCATTTCTAGAATGCAACAAATATTTTGGTTATAAGCTTATTTCTTCTTCATGTTACATGTAAGCTCTTATGTTGCCTTTTACTGTGTGTACAGGAGGTCACACTGTTTATCGACTTCAGTTTAGGAAAGGAGAGCGAACACTGAGGATATTTACTATGAAAAGTGGCCCTTCCGTCTGCGGAGGCTGAGAACTGCTGCTGTCAGAAAAAGAATTTTCGGGCAGGGCTGTGATGATAAAGCAGAGTCAGAGGTAGGACTGTGCCAAGAGCAAAGGAACTGAGATGGAAAAGGAGATGGCAGGAGGCAGAGAGACAGGAGAGAGACAACCACCATCTAGACAGGAAAGTAATGAAGACCTAGGGTACCGTAATGCCTGAAAGACTCAAAAGAAGAGCATTTTATGGAGGACATCTTCAAAAGAGAAGTCACTGGGACTTGGTGGTTGATTGCAGTACCTGAGTGTTGTTACTGCAGAGTGATTGTGTTCCCTAAAACAGTCTCGCACCCGTACACACACATGGCGAGCCACACAGGCACTTATCCACTCACGCTCTCAGATTCATTACCAAAAAGTCTATTCCCTTCTGCTGCCAAGAGGAAGACTTATCACACCATTGATTCTGAAATCTGACAGTGCAGCCTGACACTCGTCTGCATCGGAGGGGCAGAGCCACACTCGGCTTATTTATCTGTTTGTGATTCTCCATCCAAGATAAACCCGGAAATAAATTTCAAGTGGGCTTTAAGTAAACTCCAGCTTATAAATCTTACACTTGCATTCTCACAGTACAGCAAGCATAAAACCACAGAGATCAACAATAGATATGTATGCCTCCCTCCCCCCTTGCCAAATTCACGCCCACGCCCACACAGAGCAAGAAGAAAAATGAGAAACCGAGAACCTGAGGACCAACGACAATTTGTCTTCATCGCACATTTTCACAAGAAGCAACTGCAACAATTAATATGGTATAATCCCGGACCAGGCAGAGGAACCGTGGTCCCAAATGTCAGAAATACATTTCCAATTTGAAGAGATGGAGACTCCCGAATATTAAACGTAAGAGAATTAATAGTAGCAAATACTGGGGGCTAAAGAGAGTGTCTCAAATTATGTTTAACCTCCCATTAATTATGAAGATTTTATAGTTTTTTTTTTAATATTCTTCTTTAATTTCAAATTTTCTGAGGATAGGAAATAAAGGGAGGATGAGTCAAGATATTCTGGAAAAAAAAAAAAGAGACTACCCTACCTAGTTATCCTGATCTTTGTGCCACACCATCGAGTCAGCAAGGCATAAATACCTTGTTCTTTCTTTCTTTTCTGAGCAATCAGAAAGAGATTTTAACTGAGGGACAAAAGTGGGAGCGCTGTCTCTCCCAGATTGAAGCATTTTCTCTCCTCATCTGATCAAAGAGTGTCTGTTGGGTCCCATCAAGGTGAAAAATCTTCCTCTAAACCTCCCCACTAAATGACTACCTTCTCACACTGTCTAGGTCTGTGTGTATGTGTGTGTGTGTGTTTTACATACCATCTCAGATGTATTTTTTTTTTTTGACAGGCAGAGTGGACAGTGAGAGAGAGAGATGGAGAGAAAGGTCTTTCTTTGCCGTTGGTTCATCCTCCAATGGCCGCCATGGCCAGCGCGCTGCAGCTGGCGCACCGCGCTGATCCGATGGCAGGAGTCAGGTACTTCTCCTGGTCTCCCATGGGGTGCAGGGCCCAAGCACTTGGGCCATCCTCCACTGCACTCCCTGGCCACAGCAGAGAGCTGGCCTGGAAGAGGGGCAACCGGGACAGAATCCGGTGCCCTGACCGGGACTAGAACCCGGTGTGCCAGTGCCGCTAGGTGGAGGATTAGCCTAGTGAGCCGCGGCGCCGGTCTCAGATGTATTCTTAAGCACTTTCCTGTTTGCAATGTGCGACGGAAATACAAGACAAACCCCAAGGCCTGTGTTAACTGCCTGAAATGGGTAATGAAGGGCTTAGTAGGCAAAGGCTCAGATAACACCATCCATTGATCCCCATCTTGGCTACCTGGTCTCAGGTTTAGAAACAGGAAGGATTTTTACATATTGGTCATCTTTATTTTACAGTATAGGAGCTTTAATGAGCAACAAATAATCAAAAAGTGACCTGAAAGTAAAAGGACCTGATGCCAGGTGAGACAACACAGGTAGCCCTGGCTTAACAGTCATGCAAAGTCCTCTTCCGCAGAATAAGTCTACAGCCACAATTCTAAGGTCTCTGCCGTGGAAGGCAAGGCCCCAGGACTCTACTGCTGCTCTCAGCTCACCTTCCATTACTGCGCTTTGCACCCCTGCTTTGAATCACCCCCTCCTCTCCCGAAGCTCTGAGTCTCCAAGCTATTTCTGATATTTCACAATTGTTCCCGACTGGCATCCACTTATCGTCCAAAGCTCTCTCTGGTGTCACACAAAGGGGTGGGAACCTCTTCTCTTGGCTTGCTCTGCAAACAGGGTTTAGTCTTTCCATGTAAGCACTTGCTAATTACCTGGTAACTTTCTCTTTACTCATTACCTCCCTGAACAGGTGCTTTTCTATGGTGTAAAATCTGCTCAGACAATCAGTGCTTTTCTCCCTGAGAGGAGAGAGGGGTTTGCAGCCAGAGCTTTTGTCCCCAGGGTGGGGGAGTCAACTGCACTTACCTTGAGAGGCAAGCTACAAGGTGAGGAAGAATGTGGGGGGCAATCCGGACTAGACTGAGTTACTGGAATTAAGACTTATTCTATGCATCTGCTCTCCCACAATATGGTGCTGGGAGAGAAGTAAACAGCTTCCGCACAGCTGCCTCCAGTTCAACCAATAAACTGTAGGACTTGCTCCTGATTGGAGAGCAGCATACTCGGCGTGTGGGCAGCCGAGTTAGGATTGGCGGAGGAGGACTATAAAGGAGGAGAGAGACGGCATGCACCAGGAACATCTAAGGGGAACATCTAAGGGAACACCTGTGCAGCCCCCGAGAGAGCCGGCCGGCGGTGTGCCGCTCCCCTGCGGAAGTGGGGAATGTGGCCAGGGGGAACTGCCCTTCCACGGAGGTGGAAGGGATAGTAGCCAACCCGGGAAGAACCAGCAGCAAACCCGGGGAGGGCCGAGCAGACGAAAGAACAGCGCAGGGTCCAGTGTCGCTCCTCCACGAAGAGGGGGAGCGACAGAAGAAGTCTAACTTGGATGGTGCCAATCTATCCCACGCTCATGCTATGCACCAAGGCCACATAATCCCCAAAGGAGTCCCTGCAGTTCTTTTCCTGTAGGGCAGTGGGAGACGCGGTGTGGATGCAGGAGATTTCATAGTTCTAGGGATTTAGATGGGCAGGGCACACTAGGCGAGGTGTGGAAGAGACACAAGCAAGTGCTAGGACTCTTCATTCTGAATTGTCAGCTTTCAACAGCTGCATGCAAACACATCTAGTTATCAGGTGAAATCCATTGTTGGCTTCTCTTCCCCTTTGCTTCATGGAAGTCCTTTGGGTATAAGACACAGGGCCTTTGTTGTTGAAGAGCACAGAGTGCCAGATTCAGATTTTTACCACTATTTCCAGGCAAGGTGACACAACAGTCACAGGGGAACAATAGTAGAGCTGAAAAACGCAGCCATTCAGCATACAACTGTAACCTTATGTCCTATTTCCAGATCATACTTTCTCAAGTGCACTGTGCATCAAAACTTCTATTCAACTCTACAACTATCTTGCAGACCATACAATTGTTTTGAATTTGCACATGTGTCAACGTGTTCATTTGCTAAGGGTAAACAGTGTCAACAAGTGTTTGATTTGTCACTGGTTTTTAACACAGTAGGAGCTACCTGGAAATCTTCAAGAGGCACTAGCAAGCATAGACTTGTTTATAGGATCAACAGACAATGGACAATGACTCCTTTTCATAAGAAAAAGATTTACTTGCACTCACCAAATTGAGTTTTGCCCAGAATTCCGGTCCTTCTTCCATCTCTCTGAGGCTCGGTGGAATGTACCAAAAGCAAATGTTGGCATATTCAGGCTGAGATTTAAGAACATTTGAAAATCATTTTGTTACTCTAAGATTTATCTTCAAAGGCAAGTCAACAAATAGTGCTTAAACTCTTAGCTAGTCTTTAAGAGTTGTCATGTGTATAGAACTTTGATAACAAATTGAAATCTTACGTAGTAGATATCCAGTCTACCTAAATTCTGATAACAGTTTGTTGGAAAATTTTTCTTCTCCATTATGTGCACTAAAGGGTTCTCTTCTCCTTAGGTAAAGGATGATCACACACCAGAAAAAAAAAACGATAAGAGAGTTGACTCAACCCAGCGCTCACAACAGTTTACACCTGATATACAGACACGCTCCTCGATGCTCTATTCTCTCACCTCACTGATCTGATCCTTACAGTATTTCTTACACTGCCCTATCCTTCCCATGATTCCTCCTATGCTGTCAGCAAACAAAACTGGCCTCTTTTGCCAGCTCCATCTGACCATTGAAAAGCCCCTGTGAGTTGAGAGCACCATGACATGTGTGGCCCTTGTTCAGAAGCACTGCTGGAATCCAAGCACCTGCTGCTTTGGAAAACAAAGGAAATCGCCTTCGCTCATGGCTTTCCAACATCAGAAAGGATGTGAACTGCTTGGGGGCGGGGAGCGTGTGCAAAATGTACATTCTCAGTTCCTGTTTCAGAATGCTCAGAGTCTGATTAAGTCCATCTCAGAAAACACATTTATGAAGCATGGCAGACAGTTCTGAAGTGGGTAGGGCATGCTCTGTGTCCAAGAAACTGATCTAAACTAAGTGGCCATAGTGGCCATAGCCCTGTCATCTGCCCTACTAATCTGTTGTTCTACTGAGATTCTCATTGGGTTAAACAAGAAATAGAATTCTAGAACAGACTACAGCCCAAGCCATTACCATAGAGACAAGGCTTTGTCCTCCCTGGGCAAAATCATACAGGCAGTCACAGACTGATCACCATCAGTCACCTTCAATGATCAGATGGTTGGGGGGTTCACAAATTATACACATGGACTTGTATTCAGGAAAAATTTGGGGCCACACACACCTTCCTCATTTGCTGCTGACAGTATTTGAAGTGCTTTCTAGTTTCCACCACAAACACGGGGAAAAGCCAATGTTGTAATAGTCTTCAATAACCATCACAATTCTGCTTCAGTGTCTGCATCATGGGTCAATGTATTCCAAAAAGCAGAAACAGCTATCATCTCATAGCTTAACATCAAGATGAGCACTAAATAGAGTTTTGATTTTAGTGGATTTTAAATCACCCGTGAATGCCCTGAAGTATTTCCAGCTCAACAAGTTCTTGATCTGATCATCCTTTCACCTTTGAAATTTTTAACATTCTTATTAGATTTGACAAAAAAAAAAGAGCCACGAGTCTTCAGAATAGTTAAAAAATGAAGTATTATGTAATTCAACTCAATTTCAACAACACTTATGAGACTACAGAAACGTTGACAAATCTACACAATTTATACTCGAATCTCTGATTTATAATTGATTTGGTTTCTGTAAAACAGAATACACTGGGCTTCAAATTCTCTGATCAATTAATGTGAATCAATCTTTTCAAGTAAAAAGTAACTATGACTGATTTGAAAGTAGAAATAATAGTGATTATCTTTTACTCCATTTTAGGAATTTATATCAAAGAGGATCTTTATCCAGATGTCACAAATGTTGGTTATCAATTTATAGTCGTTCAGTCTAAATACACCCTTTCTTGGTGTCCTACAATAATGGAATTAGACTCCGATATTTCTCCCTTGTGATCTGGTCCAGTCTTGGACCTTTGCAGCAGAGGATGTTGGAGGGACAATAAAGAAGGGATGACTCTTCCTGGGTTGCTGTGCACACTGCCTGGGTTGCCCACTGACTCTTTGCTTCATCTCAGCAGTGCTGGATACCCCGGGGCCCCTAGCACACCTCCCCCACAGGAGACTGGCAGCAGGTGGGGCCCACAGATGACTTTTCCTTTCACAATCCCCTCAGACGGTTCCCCAGGGGAGTGACAACACACAGACACTTTGCCTTGAATGAGTGGTTTGAAGTGAGGTCTCAGGTGTGGGCCTCCCTGCAGTTGTCTTTGGTCAACACTCCTTAGGGTCAAATTCTAGCAAGCCCCACCAATGTGGATCCTCAGTGGCATTTTCTGCCACCTGTGTGTCACAGCTGAGTTCACTGTCTCCAGAGATGTCTGGATTGCAGCTCTGGGTGGTAGTGGCTTCCTCCTTAAAAGCTCTCCCCCAGTCCTTGGGAGGGTGGCTGCCCCCTCTGCTGTCCATTACTGTATACTTTGGGGTCTCTTTCTCTCCTATGAGGCAACCCCACCAGGACTCTAACCACCTGTGAATGTTACACTCTCTAACTTCAGATTGCTATTCTGTTTCTGTCTGAATGATCCCGGATGGATTCCTCCTCAAATCTCTTATCACTTTCCATTTCCATGAAAGGATCATAAAATATTCTACAACATAACTATCTGGAATGCTACGCTCTGCACTTCACGAGTTAGGACCTAGGCCCTTCAAATGTGTTGCTTTTAGTATGTTTGTATGTGGGTATTTTTGGAAGTGACACATCTGGGATCCCTTTTGTCTAAACATTCATTTCTAGAATGAAATGGCTTCAGTGCTATGACATTTGAATGTTCCCAGAGCCTTTCTGACACTTCATTCCATTGGGAGAAATTTGATGGTCCATTTGGTGAAATTTTCCCAAGGTTTTAAGAATTAGAAAGAACCTGCCTTCGTTGCATCACCAAGAACATAATTAAATTTCTCATGTATCTCCACCTCTGTAGCTTCTACTTTATATTAGCAACTTTCTTCAAGAGGTAGTAAGGCACTAATGAGTATTGTCAGAGTAGAACCACTCAAATGCCATGTAATTTTAATTCACTCCATGTGTGAAAGCATGAAGTTTGTGTGCTGATGGAGCACACTTGGTTTGTGTTCTCCAAAAATCATGACACTAGGAAGGCATAAAAAGGAATTGAAATATCCACTGAGGAGCACAAAGCACCTGCAGCAGCAAGTGCATTGTCACAATCTTTTGAAATTAATGAAGATGTAGGGAAGTGCCATTAAAGAAAAGATGGGTACATTCTATCCTGGCTTTTCAATAGGGAAAGAATAGATACATTACAAGGTACTTTGACGTTAGTTCTAGGAAGGATTGTTGACCAAATAATGTAAGACCACTTGGGAAAGAAAGCAATGGTCACTAAGGAGTAGCAGCTCACATGGCCTAAAACTGTATCCTATTTTTTTAAAAAGAAAAAATAATGCCTCTCCCTTGCTTACCAAGTAATTAGACCTGAACAACAGTAATAAAAAAATCAAACCTAGCACTATGCATTTTACAAGTATGAAGGTAGAATCCAGCAGATTCAATCAATCGTGGAAATATAGAATGGGGAAAAGCTTGCATCGTGGATTTTAGTTGACTTCAAGCTCATAGGTTCTAAATATAAGATTGGAATATTGAAAATGTCCAAAGGCAGCAATGAATAACACAAAAAGGCTGGAAATTGGAACTACAAGGATACAGGCTTGAAATCCAGCTTCTCATATCTCTGCTTGTTCAAGTGTTGAATAATTCTATATTTCTGCTTCTTAAACAATAGAGTGCCGATGATATTATCTGTTCATTGCTTTGGCTTGGTGAGTAAAGATTTATTGATTTTTTTTATCTTATTAATTTATTTCCAGTATTTATAACATATCTCATGCGCAGCAGTCACTCTATAAGTTCTGGGACTATTATTTGAGCCTATTTTGAGAGAAAGAGATGTTCTTTTCAAGTGGATAAATAGACTCATCCAAATGTGTATTGGGAGGCAGTACTGTGGCACAGACGAATAAGTGGCTGCCTGAGATTCCAGCATGCCATACCAGAGCACTGGTTCAAGTCCCGGCTGCTCTACCTCCAATTCAGCTCCCTGCTAATGCAGGTAGGAAAGCAAAGGAAGGTGGCCCCTGCCACCCATGTGAGAGACCCAGATGGAATTCCTGGCTCCTGGTTTTGATCTGGCCTAGCCCCAACCATTGTGGCCAGATGGAGAGTGAACCAGGGGATAGAAGATCTCTCTCTGTCATTCCCTCTCTTCCTGTCACTCTAGCTTTCAAAAAATTAAATAAATCTTTTAAATCTGTATTAGATTTATCACTATATTAATTTCTGGGTGCCATATTTGATGGGAAACATTAAAAAGCCAGAGTACTCGTAGAACAGGACTTAATGAGCAGAATTTTCTGTTATACATATCAGAGTAGGCATCGAGATGAGAAAATGACTTCTGCTGTGGATTTGCCTCCAGGGACTCAGAGACCAGTCATGGAGCTCGGTACCAGCAGTGAACTTGCAATGGAGTAAGCATTGCCACAGAAGAAATTCCTGGTAATCCAAGAACTATTCCTGGCCAAAGGAATACTGCACCTGTAGAGATTAGTGTGGTAAAGGGGACGGCGAGTACTTAGAATGAATAGAGGACAGGGTGTGCAGAGAGAAGGGAACCTGAAAGTGGAGCTGCAAACCACTTCCCTAGGGGCTTCTTCATACACAGTGCCAGGCAGTCTGAGTTTGATGCTAGAGGCAAAGTAGAATCACTGGACAGTCACACTCCGGAAGAGATCTCCCTGGAGGAGCTGTGGGCCAATGGGTTGGCAGGGTGTAAGAATGGGAGACAAGTTGAGAGACCTAAGCGATGATTCCTGAGACAGTGGCTTTGGCAGTAGAGAAAGTATCCGGAATACAGTAAGGGCAAAGGAAAGGGAGACGGAGAAGAAACCCCAAGGTTCGTGCATGAATGGCCTACTGCAGTTTTAATGATCCAGGGGAAGAGGTAGGCTACTGCATTTTCAATTTCAACTTTAGAAATGGTGAGTTTGTCAGAGGGCTTCCATAGCCTTGGAAACTCATGACTGGAGCATAGGGAGATTACTGATGCCATAGACAGGAGTGTCAATTTGTAAAGTCAACAACAGGAGTCACTGTGCACT